CAGAAATACATGATTTTACCAATTCATGAAGGGTTTGCATGTACTGATCTATTTATAATGAAAATATTTACACAAGCAATTGGAAGATGATTCTTCACTTCAGCTTTAGATTTTCCCATTGAAGGGATTTTATTATGCTTAAGGTTGATGATATTAGTAATATTGATATTAGTGGTGATACTTTGTAATCATTGTATATATCTTTGTTTATGTGCAAGAAGCTTTGTAGGTGCTTTATATTGGGAAATTAGTTATATAAAAGCAAATGTTTCATGCTTTAGGTACAGGTGATTGCTTACATGAAAAGAGCCTGGTAAGGGGAGGGGGAAAAGGAGTTACGGATGGAGCCTGGGTTGCTGTGTATGAGTCATCATCTTGGAATTATTTTTCTGTACCTTTTAGTTCCTGATACAAAGATCTGATCTCTTTATTCTGGAAAGGTATAAAAGGTGGAAGACATCTTTCCTGGTTGTTGCCTTCATCTTTCTACCAGCCACGAAGAGAGATGGGGTCACCCAACTCTATTTTGATCAAAATAAAAGTTGTTTGCTTGCTGAAACCTCGGCTCAGGAGTTTCTTTGGCTCTTTTAAATTCCTGAGTAATGCTGGGACAATTGTGAGGCTAAGTGGAAAACCTTTCACCATCATCCAGCCAAATGATACCCACAACCATATAATTCCCATTAGGGTCACAAATGTTTTTTTTGTCATACAGAATATTTGCTAATGTGGCTAATGATATACAAAAACATAGATTAATATGGATGTTGAACTTGACTTTTTTTTAAAGCATTTGCCATAATCTTTATTAAAATTCTACTGGTTAATAAGAGTAATTTTGTGTAGTGATTAAGGCAGGGGTGTCAAACTGCGGGCCCGCGGGGCGGAGGCGTCACGTGGAAGCCACGCCCACCCCATTGCCGGCAATGGCAAAACCAGCCCGATACGTTGCGCAACGTCACATGACGTCACGAGTTTGACATGTCTGGATTAAGGCATTGAGGAGACTGTTCTAGTTCCGTCTTAGGTATGAAACTACCTGGGTGATCTTGGGTCAGTCACTCACTCTCAGCCCTAGAAAGTAGGCAATGGCAAATCATTTCTGGAAAAAAAATTGCTATAGAAAACTGCAAGGCCTAGTCCAGGAAGTTGCCAGGAGTCAACTCTGACTCAAAGGTACAAATTACACAAACACACACACACAAACAAGATTACATCCTTTGGACTTGGTATGGGAACCAGTACGAGTTTTCTTCAGTCCTCATGTGTAAACTGTTATTGTGTTTGCATTTTACACCAGGACTTTGGCTAGGCCAGGATTCTAGTGAAAGAGATTCTGCAGATAATCTTCCATGGGTCTAATATGACAAGAAACCAAATGAATCTAGATCAGATTATTCTTTTCAGTTTGTCTTGTTTGTTAAAACTATTATTAGATAAACTTATATCAGTTATCTCATTATTTTCATTAGTTCAGTGGGAATTGTTTTTGAACCTACTGAACCAGTCTGGTACTTTGTTTATGGAACAAGTTAACTAGGCTGCTTGAGGAGCATACTTGTCTTACTTAGGAAGAAGGCATATGTATTTCATTGGGCTACTATCCTGTGTAAAAAAGAACAATGCTGTATGAATATAATCCAAAACATACATAAAGGTTTGCCCTGTCCAGTCGTTTCTGACTCTAGAGGCCAGCACTCATTTTCAATTCCTAGCTGAGGGAGCCAGTGTTGTCCAAAGAGACTTCTGTGGTCATGTTATCTAGAGGATAACTGACTGAGGAAAACTGCATTCGCAAGTGACTTGATTACATACTGTATTTAGCCATGGATTGTTTAACCATGTTTGGTTGAATGAACCATAATTTGGTTTACACTATGTATAAACCGTAAATCATGATTTATAAGCCAGAATGCCTGGTTTCAAACTGTTCTTTAATCAAAATAAGTAAACTATATTTATAATTAGGCATATGAATCCAATCAATGTAAGTTTAGGACTCCTTGAATAATTTGAAATATCTGTGGAGCGTTTGTAATATTAGCTTCAATGCTTTTTTTCTTAAAAAAAAAGAAAGGTGCCAGAACTCACACACATCATACAACCCGCCTTGCCTATCCTACAAGGTTCCATCCAAAAAAGGTGCCGGAACTCGGTTCTGGGCGTTCTATGAGAAAAAAAGCCCTGATTAGCTTTATCAAAATCAGATTCACTGTAAGTATTCCACTGCTTCCATAGACAAGATTAAGAAGTCTTATTCTACTCTCAAATCTCATGGGTAGTTTTTTGCAAGATTTTTTTTTATTCCAGGGAAACAGAAACTTGTAAAATTATTAAATTGCAGGGAATAGACCAGGCAGTCAGCTTGGAGTTATCATTGAGTCAAAGGCATTAAAAAAGATCTATCTGAAGGAGAAAACAATTATACTAATATTAAAACTGAGTTCTGAAGCATAATTAATTTTAAATATATATTAAATTACATTATTTAATACTAATCTACAACCAATGCTATAAGCATATAAGTAACATATACTGTCACTACACACTGGATAAAAACTAATAATAGACTAAAAATGGAAAATGGCATGTTTCATAAAAGAAAATATGTGGCTCCACTTCAGTATGGAATACATCCATATGAATATTTTAAGTGGAATAGTTTTGCAGTGTAAAATGTGTGGAAATAAATCTTAAGCTTCATATGTGTAGAGACAGTTTCCTATCAGCTGTAGACCTGGATGTTAAATTCCATCAATAAATGGATATTTGAACATCTTACACAATTAACAGATATACTTCTGTACTTCCCTGACAGCATAGTTGTTTTGTCTTGCCCAGTGTAATGGAAGATTTATATTCACATCCTTTTGTTGGGCCAGTTGCATAGCAACTAACATTTGCAGCACCAGGAGGCCACCTCACTATGAGCAGTATACCCTAACAGAATTATTCCAGTTTCTACTGACAGTGGGAACATTTGGAAACAAAACTGAATTTCATGGTATACTTTTTGTTTTCACTGTGCACCTTTTCTATATGTCAGTTCCTTCCTCATTTTTCAAAAAGAGAAAGAGAATAATCCTGAAATAAGCACATTACACTATACTTTCAGAATACATACACAATGAACAATATTCAGAATAGATTAAAAAACAGACCCAACTTGTATGTGAGAAATAAAACAGGAATATTGGCTGGGAAAGAAGGGAAAATCAATAAATGAAGAACTAATTGACTCATATAAGGTTCTAGATCAAATTGTGCCAGAAGAAACCTTTACTGCTTGGAATGTAAGTAGTGTAAATAGTGTTTCTACTTGGAATGTAAGTAGTGTTTGCTTATATTTACTTGCATCAGTTCTACATGGGGAACTAGTATACACAAGAGTTGAATGTTAAATTCAACTAGAAAAGCTGGATCTCTAGATTTCCCCCCCCCCCATCCCAGTATCATGCCTTATTTTGGCCTGAATACTACATTATGAAAAATATATACAATTATGGCAAAGCAAATTTATCCAGATATTTTACAGATCATGCAATTACTTATAACTGGTCTAAAGGTAATCAAACTAGAAACTGGGAGACCGTAAGTTCTAGTTTTGACTAAGTCATGAAGTCAGATGGCTGAACTTAGGCAGATACACTCCCTCAGCCCTAAGAAGGCAGCACTGGGAAGTCAGTTCTGAAATCATGCCAAGAAAACTGCAGAGACTAGTCTAGGTAGTCACCAGGAGTCAAGACTGACTCAGAGACAAAGAAAAAAAAGAAAGAAAGAAAAATGTTATTTCACAAGTAAGGTCACTAAAAAATTAAGTATTTAATTTTAAGTATTCCCTAATTCCCCACCCCATTTTTTAAAAACTGAACAGATGCCTTAGTCTGAACACGTATCAAATCTGCGAAGGTTTGGTTTCTTTTTACCTCTGAGATGGGATTCATCATGCTTTTTTATTTAAAACCATTTTCTTTTCTGTAATGCTTGTTAAACAGAAGTTTGCAAAAAGAAAAAAGAAAATTGAGGCTGGACTAGCTCTGATATAGTTGGAATTGCCTGATGCATGGTCAAAATAGGATGGCAGAACGTTCCTTGAAACATTTGCATACCTCTGTTAGCAAACAGCAATATCCAAAATGACCTTATTGTAACCAGCTCTCAAGCAGAACAAAAACACTGCTGGATAAAAACAGCATTTAACTCATACTTATACTCTATATTTCTAGAGATGATGTATAAACTGCTATACTAAATAATGTCCTAAGTTACACTGTCCCATAATATGTGCCTTGCTGGTTCAATCTGGCAGGGTTGGCCTGCTCCAGTTTCCATTGATTAAATAATGCTGCATTGTGGGACACTGAAAGTATGTCTTCTCTGTAGCAGCATCTGCTCTCTGAAATAAGGTTCCTCTGGAGATTTGAACAGCTCCCACCCTAATGCAATTTCAAAAGGCCTTGAAAACATAGATCTTCATTAGGGATTTGGTGAGGATAGTTGATGTCTGTTTTTTCTTTCCTTGTTCCTATCCAGGTTTGTTTTCTCTGTCATATTAATTTCTTTGTTTTTTTGTTTCTTGTATTGTATTTTTATGTGTTTTTAACAATTTATAAACCATCCAGAATTGCTGGGAGTCGGGTGCATATGAATAAATTATTATTTACTGCACAAAATGAAGTCCAGTAATGATTGAAAATATTATTCAGGATAAAATTTGCTCATGTTAAATTGAGAAGTGTCTTTCTGTCATAGTCCTGTTTTACATTCGACAGTATAATCGGGAATCATCATTTTTATAAGGCCTATAGATCAGGCATGTCAAACGTGCGGCCTACAGGCTACATCCAGCCCGTGCAGGCCACCCCCACCCCAGCCCCATAGGGCAAAAAAAATCCTGATATGGCCCACAGTGCGATTGGGTTTGACATTCCTGCTATAGATGAATTTATAAAGATACTAAAAGTAAACAAGAACTGGAAGTATGGAAAAAGCCATGATAGATTACTATGTAAATGTAATAATGCCTGCCAATAGTTTAAACATACAAACTAAATGCAGTAGAGTATTGCAACAAATATGTTATAAGCATAGCTATATAACATATTTACAATTATAACATAAATTCATTTTATTATTAGCACAATCTGAGAATATGCTAACATAAAATTCCAACCCCCCAGCACATTTGCACATTTGTAGCATATCCAATACTGAGCTTTCCAAATGAGTGAAGTTGGATTCATCCCCAGAGAGGACTCCGTCTTTAACTGTGATCTGTTCTCAGAAAGAAGTAATTTCAGCAAATTCATAGCGTTGATAACATTAATTTTTTTTGCTGAAGGATAAGGCAAAGGTCATGCATAACTTGGCATGTTTATTTATCAATTGGTAAGAAGTCCGTACTTGTGTAAGCAGCAAAACAAAATCTGAGCATGAATGATGCCTATGCAAAACCACTGTGAGAAATATCCTCCACAGTGATGAGTACAGTTCTTGGCCAAACATATAAAACATGCTATACGAAAAAGTTGCTAACTAAACATATGTATTAAATACTGGAGGGGAAGGGGGTGGTTTACATTTTTATTATAATTTATTCTATTTAACAATCTAAGAAGTTTGCAGCCATCAGCAGTTCCAGTGCAATCTCAGGTGCAATTGGAAATTCAGGAATCTCTGTGGAGCTGTTAGTGTAGCGAACCTTATAGGTGAAATACATGCATACTTTAGATAAGACGTGAGAAGGAATCTCTCTGAAGTTCACTTCATTTGTTTCATTTTCAGCAAACTGGCCTGTGCACATAAAAAACACAGATATTTTCATCAATATATTTGCAGATATAAAAATATGATTGAAGTTAATTACTATCCTAAATCATAAATTATAGTTAGGAATATGGGAAAGCATCCCCAAAAGTAGCTAAAATCAACATTCAGGTATCATTTATAGTTCTCAGTAATACCTCTGCAAATTATATCTATAACTATATATGAGGGACCTGTTTTCTGTCAGGTGTTGCTGCATGACTCCATCATTTATAACTCTGTTTCTGTCGTGAGAGCAGATTAGGCCTCTACATTTTAGAGCTAATTAAACTCACATTTACAAGTAGTCCTCGAATTATGAGTGTAATGGAGCCTGCCCATTCCACTCATAACTCGAAAACTCGTAGAGTGAATCTCATTCGAGGTACGAGATCATTCCCTTGCTCTTTAAAGCACACGTGGCTCATTAAGTGAATATAAGGTATCTCAGGGAGGCCATGGAGGGCCTAGTGCTGGAACAGGCCCCCAAGGCCTCCCCAACCCATTAAGATACTGCATGCTTCCCCCTCCCTTCCTGCTATGCCGGACTCACCTGGAAAAGATCCGTCTCCTCTCTGCCGCGGTTCCTGCTGCTGCCTGGATTTGAGGCCGGGGAACGCTTCCGTGACTACCCCCCCCCCCCCCCGTGGCCTGATCTGGGCTCCAGAGGCCTTTTCCAGGCCGCTGCTGTCTGGATTTGAGGCTGGAGAATGCTTCTGCGCACCCCGATCCAGGCTCCAGAGGCCTTTTCCAGGCCCAGATCGGGCTGCGCGGAAGCATTCCCCAGCCTCAAATCCAGACAGCAGCGGCCTGGAAAAGGCCTCCGGAGCCCGGATCGGGCTATACAGGGTGCACGGAAACCTCCCCCAGCCTTAGATCCGGGTCTCAGCGGCCTGGAAAAGGCCTCCGGGGCCCCGATCCAGCCTCCGGAAGCACGTGGAAGCATCTCCCAGCTTCAGTTCCATTCTCTCTTGCAGAGAACAGAAACCTAAAGTACCATGAGATCATATGAGATCAGTAGCGTGAGATCTTGCCCCACTGATCTTACGTGATCTTGCGTTACTTTAGGCCTCCATTCTCTACGAATGCACCGAAGGCCTGGAGCAGCCAAGGAAGCGAAGGATCTCGATCTTTGCAGGGTAAGTATTGAAGGCCTAGTGCCTAGGGAGACCCGGGGCAGGGGTAGGGAGGGAGAGAATAACCAGAGTGAATGTTGCAGAGCCATGCGGTTGCTCATAAGGTGCTGCAATATTCGTAACTTCAGAACTTGCTCATAAGCACTATGGGGCGCTCATCACGTAACTTTGAATGAGCGTTAAATGAACGCTCATAACTCGGGGATTACCTGTATCTAATTGAAATTTAAAAACTATCCCTTTAGCAACATTAAACGTAATTTTAAAAATAATTGGATTTTAATCAGATTTTATTTCCAAAAAGAAATGAATTGGGAATTGTGCCATATTGATGTTAATCATTATAAAAGCATTTGTCATAAATTTGAATTAATTCTGATTTTGATAGCTGTTGATTATCCCTAAATTTTATTCCTAGAATAAAACTGTAGCAAGCATGATTGAACATATGTGAACTATAAGTGAATGTGATATGAAATATAAGCTCCTTCACCCCGGTAATGTGAAATATGAAATATAAGCTGTGAAATATAAGCTTCTTCGCCCCATAAATCTGGTTTGTAGAAACCCAAATGTGTTTTATGGATTTATGGGCATAGTAGGTAAATATATTTTTTAGGAAACAGCTACAGTGAGGAAGGGAAATTCATCCCACCAATAGTGCTCCTTGTATTGGCAAATACACTCTCAGTCTCTAGAATTGTACAATTATTATCATTAGCAGAATGAATATGGAAATTATTTTTCCATAATATATATTATTGACCCAATTTGGTATTATGGCTAACTCAAAACTGATCCCTTTTCAAAAAACAAAAACTGATTTATAAAAAAGTACCTAAAGCTTAGAATCATTCCTCTGGTAATATTGGAAAATCCCTATGATTCTAAAATCATTTTCACTTTTGTTTGGACACAGTCTCTGACTGAAATTGAAATACTAAATCTTATAAAACTGTACTGTTCTTTTTGAGAAACTAGTTCCAGAGATTACTCTAGTATTACAAAACAGAAAAATTCTCAATTCCCATTTTTCAGAAATGAATGTTATACCAACCTGGGCCACTCAACATTGCCTTTATTGTTCCTGATGTGAGTGCATGCTCCCGTTTAACAATGAATTCGTGGCCATCAGAAGATATCAACTTCACATACATAGCATCAGGGCCTTCACACCCACCATATGTTTTCTCTTCTCCATCTACAACATGAAACGAATAATTTCAATTTATGATTATTAGGTTTAACAATAATAAACAATGCAACACTGAATTATTATATTATGTATAGTTTGATATGGAGAACCATTTTGGTCTAGAAACCAGAATATCATGAGTTTCACCCCTTAGGCGTGAAAGATAGTTGGGTTACTTTGGACAAGTCACTCTCTCTCAGCCTGACCCACCTGATAGGATTGTAGTTGGGGGCAAAATAGAAGGGGTATTAGATACGTTTGCTTCCTTAAGTTACTTATAAAGTAATAAAAGTGGGATAAAAATAAATAAATATATAGGAGAATGGTAGCAAGCCCAACATGTAAATATGATATTGAGATCTTATTTGAGATAAATATTGTAAGATTTCTTATCTCAAGTTGCTTTAATACTAGGTGGACACTACTCTACTAATTTGAAATCTTTCAAAATACTATAACATTCCTTGGTAATATTCAAACCTGATGAACTTTAAATTAAAGGAATCCTTATCAACAATATTTTGAGAGACAGTTATCTAAAATATTTCATCATAATAGGAAATAAATTTTAAAAGATAAATTTTAAATATGAATACAATTTCAGCACACTACAAAGTAAAATGAATTCTGTGTTTCTGTTATACCCACCTTTCCCACCACCAGTACTGGTAATCTTTCTTTTTTAAAAAAATATTTCACCTGTCAGGATAACAATACTCAAAACATGGCTTATAAAAAGACGATATTTGTAGAATTCTTTCTATAGGCTGTTAATGGTAAGTAGCTTCATGAGGGAGAATGGCTGAAGGAAACATTCAATACGTTCAATTGTGCAGGCTTTGAGATGGCAATTACTTCCCTTCCTTCTCCAATTTTCAGAACTGTTTATACGGCCACTTCCTTTCTGGGAAGCAGGTTTTCGTGATGGTTTGTCATTTGCCCATCTTTCTTTTTTATTCCTCTTTGTTTTTTCAAGATTTTTAGAATCCCCATGTAATTTCATTCCTATTTTATTCATATTTAAATTTTGTGAAAACTTGATTTATCTCCAAATAACTTGAGGGAAAAACAACTTTGAAGTTTTAAAAGGGGGAGGTGTTGAGGAAGTGATATATATCTCCAAATAATGTAAGATTACAAAAGTATCATTTTGTCATTCAGCAAACAAAATGAACTTTAAAACAGTTGCAACTACAAGTATTATATTAATTACTACTACTCTGAAATCTCACCCAACTTTTCATATAAACATGACTGGAAGCAAAATTAGCATTTTCATGATATATTGAATATATTCTTAAAAAGCAAAGATATTTCTAAAGGATATTTTTGTCAATATCCTTACCCATATCTTCTTAACAAATGATAATTGCTTTGCCTTTGGCGCTTTTAAACAGGATCTGAAAACAAATGGAAAAGTACATACATGTTCAAGTTCATTATGAAAAGAAAATTGTCTGGTGGCAGTACAAGAAGGTCACTAGCTGCAGTCCTTTGTACAGTTGGTAGTGACCTCAAAGAAAAACGTGATTTACCTATGTTTACTGTACTATATTATCATACCATATATAGCATGGTGTTTACATTACTACCCCTTAATTTGAGGCCAAGGTTATCTAAGGAACCTTAATGTACAATCATGAATTTGATTGGCCAATCACATGACCATGCCTGCTAAAATCTTATCTAGGTATTTGTAGGGCCAGAAACATTTACAATAGGTTTCAATGTAGATCAGTTACAATGTCACAGGCAACCACAGTCACATGATCACTACTTCACTGCTAGCTTCCCACAAACAAAGTGGGGAAGCCAGCAAGGAAAGTTGCAAATCACTCTGGTAAGTTGTTCCCATCTGCAGCACATACTCTTGCCTGTGCACAACTTCCACCAGCCCTCCCAATCCTCCACTAACTCACACCCCCAATTCCTTCATCTCACACACAGCATTAGCTAGGCCTCCCAAGCCCTCCCTACCCTCTGGTGACCCTGTGCTCCTTACCTGGGACTTCCTCTGCTTCCTCCTCAATAGCCCACGTCTTCAGTTAACACAACAGCAACCAGACCTGTCAGGATTGCCATTGCTAAGCGATGGTCATATGACATTGCACTTTATGACTGCATTGCTTAGCAATGGCAATCCCATTCTCAATTGCTGTCATAATCCAAGAACTACTTTATACTAAATAGATTATTCTGTGACGTTATCTGGAGATTGTAACTGAATAAAGTTTTTCCTGAAGGACTTTTAATAGACACTCAAATTATCATGGGAAATGTTGTCAAAATAAAAGACAAATTTGAATATTTGTAGCTCAGGGTTGAAATGAAGGGATCTTTGGGGCTCTCTAAACTTGGTTGTTTTCTTGCAGATGTTTCATTACCCATTACCCATTACATCATCAATAACAAGCATGTCAGATGATTTAATTCAGTCTTCCAGAACTTAATACCTATCAGATATGTTGGATTATACCTCCTACAATCTAAAATCCAAAAGATAAATGTCTAGAAAGGTTCTATTTAACTGTCCATGCCATTGCTTGCGCAAAGAGCCAAGGTGGTAAAATGATTCGATTAAGAATGGCTGGATTGCAGTCCATTTCCAGTAATAGAAGTCACTTGGCAAGGGTAGTCTATAGAACATAGAATATCAGAGTTGGAAGGGATCTTGGATGTCTTCTAGTGGTTCAATCCCTGCTCAAGCAGGACATGCTATACTATTTCAGACAGGTATCTGTCCAGTCTTTTCTTAAAAGCCTCCAGTAATAAAGCACCCACAACTTCTGAAAGCAAGCTATTCCACTGGTTGATTGTTCTCACTGTCAGGAAATTTTATAAAATCCTATATAAATATAGTCTTCACTCACTCTTAGCCCAATCTATTTAATCAAGCTGCTATGTGGAAACCCAGGATGGTACACTTCACCATAAAGTAAATGGACAGATAATCGGAATTTCTGTCACATACTATTTTTATTAAAAATACGTAACTGGATATTTTTGGCCAGGTGTAACCTTGATTTTCAGAATAAGTCTTCCTTCTGGCAAAAATACTGCCCATACACAAGTATGATAATTTCCAATAAGAACACTTCATATTGTGTTTATGTGTATTTTTATATAAAGTATTTCAATATTATATCTATGTATTAACATAGCTATATAAATATAGATATATTCATTCTTGAAATTTCAGGATAAATACTATCCTACCGCACACACACTGGATAGTAATAATTAGAAAATTCTCATTCTAGGCAGCATGGCCAGATATAATGTCAGCTGAATTCTGTTAAAAATTGTATAGGCACATTATACAAATATTGTCCTCATTTAGAAGACAGAGTTGTCTTTCTTGCCCTCTATACTATACAGAGATAGGGATCTTGTTTAAAACTGAAATACACATAGAAAGAGCAGGACTTAATTTTAAGTTAAGTCTGTGATGTGCCAAGTTGGGAATCAAGAAAATGTAACGCTTGCTATCAGTTAAATCTATCATCTAACTATTGAATAAAATAATTGAGATTAAGAAATGCCTGACCATTGTTAGATATTGCATCAATATCTGCCTTGTCAATTGATCAGTATACCAGCACAACTGGCACGGGGCAAAAAAATGACTTTGAATGTCACTTTGCACAAAATCTTTCACCAATTTATTTGAACATTTGGGAGGTATTATTCCTGTAGAAGGGACATTACTACCTGAATATTTAATCTAATTTAACCTAAAATTATACATGTTGTCTTTTAAAATATGAAATTAAAGATATCCTGGGCAAAAAGCCCAGATGCCCTGAAAGTGGGCATGCTTCATCTCATCAGAAAGCTACATTGTGTCTTCAGTTTCAGTATATCAGATACACATTTTAAAAGTTTTAGTTATTTTGGGTTGCTCATCCTAGTCCACAAGAATTGTAAAATTCTTGTTGAATTAATTAGCACAAGATGTAATAATGCCCACCAGTCTGGATAGTTTTAAAAAGGATTTGGATAACTTCATAGAGGACAGATATATCGAGGGCATTTAATCTTGAGACTAAAATACCAATCTCAGAACAATGGGTGAAAAGAGTAATTCCTCCATCTCCTGTTTGCAAGAAACCTAGAGGCACTGCTTGGCCATTGTGAAAAACATAATGATAAACTTGTACTGACTTATGTTTTTATGAGATTTTAGATTTCTAAATCTTAGGTTGCAAACAGTTGCTAATTTAATCTGAATCAAAATCAGTTTCACCAAACTGGATCTGAAAATATTTTTTTGTTTAAGCACATACTAAGTGACACTACATAGGTGGCTTTTCCTCCTATGGTACCATTCAGATCTTTCAGATTTATAATTCTCAGAATTGTTACCTGGTATGACAAACAGCTACATTAGATGGGGATTTTGGCGCAGTTGCAGTCCTAATATTATATAGAGTGCTCCATATTAAGAGAAGGCTGATATGTGTGATTTGGTTTTGATAGATACATAATTTATTGCTAAACCTACACTAGCATTATATGTACAGTAAGAGAGTCAGTTTGGTGCACCAGGCTAGAAACTAGAAAACTGTAGTTTCTAGTCTTGCCTTAGATACAAAGACAGCTGGGTGACCCTGGGACAATCACTTTCTCTCAGTTCTAGGAAGAATGCAATAAACCATTTCTTAAATCTTGCCCAAAAACCTGCAGAAATCCAGGCAATTGGTAGGAGTCAATGCTGGCTGGAAGGCATATGTATAGTATATCTGTATTCTTATTGCATGGATCATATTTTAAATAGTGTTGAAAATTGGGAATTGTAGGCAAAGAACAGATTTAAAAAGAGTAAGGGAATATTATCACATTACCAAAATTACCACATTTGATTTCTAAACTACACAAATATTTGAGTTATGAATGTCTTGCTATCAGAGTGGCTTGTTTCATTTTAATCATAATGGGGGGGGGGGCAGAAGAATGCTGGAGAATGGAGGAAAGAAATGATAGAAAAATATGTGTGGCAAAGTCACTCCAAGAGAAAAATCCATCCAGGAGCTCACAAATAATGAAGAGCTGAAACCTACAGAAAAAAATGACAAAGTCCTCTTAGTTCTTACTAAAAGGGAAGAAGGCGGAGCAACCCTTACAGGGTGGCTTTTCACAAAAGCAGTCTTAAAGACATGGCAGCTCTGAGAAAAAAAGTAATTTTCAGGGGCTCAGGGAGGAAAATAGAAAAGGGGTGCTTTTAAGAGGGCATCAATAAGTCATATCAGACGTAAGACCGGTTTCCCCAATGCAATGCGAAGCACCGTTGGGGAAGGCTGGTTGAAAAGATTCAAGGCTGGGATTAAGTCACTTTCCGCCCAGCATCGACACCAGCCCCTCTCCACGGCTCTCGGCTATTGCGGCAAAGCTTCCCACGACTCCCAGCTATCGAGTCCTCGTGGCGAACAAAACCACGAGGAAAGAAACGGGTCTATCAGGCCGCGAGTTGGTCGCTCTCCAACAACTCACCGCTTCCCAGCCGCACAAATCCGCGAAGCAGCTTCTCAAGGAACGACACTACTCCAGCCGGGACAATCCTCCCCAGAAACCACTTCCTGTAGGTCACCGATAATGATTTCCGGTTTCCGAAACGCAAAGAGAAACAAATACGATAGAGATATAATGTAGAGTAACACGCTATAGGAGCAACTGGGAGAATCTTTTCTTTAGTAACTCCAACGACTGGAGGGCGAGGTGTCTAACTAACGGTATTTTAAAACGCCGACGAATGGTCCTGTACAGATTTGAATTATTAGAGCTATGTCGGGCTTGCTCACCCTACGAAGTAGACTGGAATGACCCCTTCCCTGGCTGAAAGCAGAGCAGCACCTATCTTTCTGATGTTAATCCGACACTCCCACATTACATCCCAGTATGTACACAGTACATGTTTAAATCTCGTGTGGATATAAACCAAGGTAGTTTTTCTTTCTCATATACACACGTAGGAAGTTGCTTACAAAAATCTGAGACAAAAGACTTGAATAACCTCGGTCTTGTGATGAGAATATCACACAACAAATTGTAACAGTTGATTATTTTCCTTATAACGTTTAGATCAGTGTTTTTCAAACTTGGCAACTCTTAAGATGTGTGGCCTTCAACTCTCAGAATTCCCCAGCCAACATAAAACGTTGGAGTACACATATTTTAAAGTTGACAATTTTGGAAAAACGCCGTTTTAGACCTAAGAGACGAACCTGTGCCTGGCTCCTCTTGGGTGTCCTGGATATAATGGGAAAGACAGTTCCCAAAAGTAACAAGCTGCGGGTTCTTATGGCTCCACTTTTAATTTTTAATTAATTTAATATTAATTACATTAATTAATTTTAATTAAGAAGCATTTTAATTAAATTGAATCATTCCATTCTGAGATCAGCGTTAAATTCAATCTCTATGAACTCGGGAGAATGTGTCTGGCTCTCGCGAGGCTCTGAAAGCTGTTTTTTCATGTAAAGGCGGAAGTTTGAATTCCTCTCCGCCCTTGCCCGCCAGAGCAGCGCAGCTGCTTTTCCCCGAGGTTGGCGCGGGATGCTTTGGGGTTTGTTGGTGAGCGAGTCTCTTCAGCCCTACAGATCCCTTTGAATCGTACGCGGGTGGATTCATGTGATCACTAGGTAGTAAACCTAGGAAAGACACTGCGGATTTATACCAAGTAAGGGGAGAAATAACAATTTCCAAAGAAAAGGGACTTTAATAGGAAACGAGTAAAAAGGAACTTATTTTTCCCCGGAAATGTAAAGCAGTTTACTTGCCCACTCAGTTTAATTTTTGCATTATTTTCTAGTATTGACAGGCATTGTTATTAATATGTAAAATTCTAATTGGTTTGAAACCATGCATTCTAAATAAATTGACAGAATATAGATTCTTATAAAACTAATTTATCTTTATTATCCCATATTTTTCTAGAAATATTTGAAAACCTGGTAGAGAACAGCTGCAATATCCAGCATCAACAAGTGAAGACAGAATTATGGATGATGGAGCTAAGTTTGTTGAAACTCTAAAGCGGACAGGATATTTAAAGGCAAATTCACTTAACGGAGAAGACTTTGACTGGTTATTTGAAACTTTGGAAGATAAATCATTTTTGGAGTGGTTCTGTGGAGCTTTGAATGAGCATAATGTATTATCTGAAGAAGAGTTGCAGTCATTTAACACTCTCCTAAAATCATCAAAACCAATTTTAGGAGAAGAAGCTCTCAGTGAAGTTCTTAAAATTTCCAAGCCTCTGGATATGAACACTGACAATTGTGAGGAAAAAGAGGAAACTCTTAAAATGTTAGAAAATGAATTTCAAGATCTTAAAAAGATTAAACAGGTAAAGATTCATCGTCGTAACAAGCTTCAAATCATGGCTTCAGCTAATAGTTTTATCTCCCTAAAAATTAAAGAAAGAGGTGAGGAAGGACTTAAAATCCTGAAAGATAGTCAAAGGAACTTTACAGCCATGAATATAAAGATAAACAATGAGCTTCAGACCCTAACTGAAGGAGTTAAGAAACTTGCTTCTTTTTTTGCTGTTGCAGCTGGACAAGACCTGGATTCTCTTCCTGTGCTGCTAACTCAACTTGCTTTAGATAATTATTTGTATCAAGAAGAACAAAGCACCGGAGCTCTTACTTCATATACAAAAAAACAGTTTTTCCAGGGTATATCTGAATTGGTGGAGAGTTCTAATGAAGAAAATTTCCAACTTGTACATATAAGTAAGTCTTCCAGTTGTGAGGGAAGCAGTGATATATGTGATGAAAGATCAGAACTGGCTAGATTGCAAATGGCATATATTTGTGCTCAGCATCAATTAATTCAACAGCAAGCAAAGAACCTAAGTATGAGATCGGGTCTTCAGTGGGCAGAGAAGAGTATAGGTACTTTAAAAAAGGTAAGGTGATATTTGCATAAGGCTTAATGCTATTGTCTTAAAGATATGATTTTAAGTGGTCTTTGAATTCATAGTGAGTTGACTTGAACATAACATCCTCTTAAATGTTCCATAGGCTGGCACTCATTATTTTGAGCAAACTCATTTGGCATTTTAGAACAAATTAATCCTGAAAATGTATTATGAGTTGCTCAGATCTATGCTGAGTTGGACCTTGGCTGGTTTTGAAGTGTTAGCTGGAATGAGGTTGAATCAGTGATTTTTGAAGTAAATAGGATTCTCTGTGCCATTAGAGAATGGTCTTTGAAGGAGGGGAGCAATAACTTCAGATTTGAAGAAAGCGCTGGTTGGACCCCTGCTTAAGAAGTCATCCTTGGAATCATTTGCTCAGGTCTACAGCCACTTAGATTTTAAAGATGAGTAATTGTAATTATACTTCAAAATAAAGTGTGTTATGGAATGTATTCAATTTATATAGCTGACCACATAACAATATAGAAGGCAATGAAAATAAAACACTTCTCTAGGGAAAAACACAGATTTCAAGTAGTTGCAACAGACTTATATATTATCCTGGCCCAGAGCATGGTGGAAGAGCCAGGTCTTCAGGGATTTTTTAAAGGCCAGAATTGGGTTAGGATGTATTCCATAGAGCAGGCATTGTGAGGTATGCTTCTTGTGCCTCACAAGATGACATTGTTCAATTGTTGACCTAGACCTAGAGCACCTCAACTCTTTTGGATGCTGTGGGATAGGCAGAGAGGAGGAGAAGGAAAAGGAATGGAACAGTATTATAAATATGTACATATATATATATATATATTTATCCCCAATAAGAATTCACTTAAACAAAAACTCAGAAACTATTTGTCTATTTTGCAGATTCATGGAAAAGAAAAATTTGAAGCTAAAATTTCTAGCTTGAATAATGATATTGCAAAAATAAAAACAGATTTATCACAAATAAACAGTGGAACCCTATCTTTGCTGATTAAGGAGAATGCAGAGCTGTTGAATATGCCTGTGGTTAAAGGGGATTTTGATCTACAAATTGCTCGACAGGACTACTATACATCAAGGCAGGATCAGATTTGTAACCAGCTGATCAAACAGAAGGCATCATTTGAATTTCTTCAATTGGCATATGAAATTGAATTTCGAAAACTTAGGGAAAATAGCCGTCTGCTGGAAAATATGGTGCAAGACCTGAAATTAAGCAATGACATTTTAGTGCGGACAATAGAAACAGTGTCTGAGCCTTCTATATCCCTTCCTAGGACACAAAGTAGCACTGTTGAGTCAAAGAACATTGCAGCACATAGGTAAGAAGCTAACTTATTTCAAACTTACTGAAGCACTAAACATAAGGTCTGTACAAACATAAAAATAATTTGTTTGAAATTAATTGGTCTTCCTTATTGGTAACTGATCTAAGCCAGACTGTACTGTTATGTACAGGTAGTTCTCGAGTTACAACAGTTTGCTTAGTGACAACACTGAAAAAAGCAACTTATGATCATTTTTCACATTTACGACTGTTTCCACATCCCTATGATCATGTGATCAAAATTGAGATGCTTGGCAAGTGACTCATATTTATGACAGTTGCATGGTCCCTGGATCATGTGATCCACCTTTTGTGACCTTCTGACAAGCAAAGTCAGTGAGAAGCCAGATTCACTTAACAACCGTGTTGCTAACTTAACAATTGCAGTGATTCACTTAACAACTGTGGCAAGAAAGGTTGTAAAATGGAGCAAAACTCACTTAACAAATGTCTAACTTAGCAACAGAAATTTTGGGCTCAGTTGTGGTCATAAGTTGAAGACTACGTATATTTTTGAATTCATAATAGACATTTACTTTCTTTTTTTGTTCAGTATTTTAAATTGTTTCTAGTTAAGCAATTGTTAATCTGAATACTTGCATGAAAACTGATTGTCAGGTTAGTAGATGATTTTTCTGCAGAAGCATAGAAAGCTGAAGCAGAGATAACCTTTAAAATCAATGGATGTAATCTCACTTCCTATCCAAAATTTGTAGATGAACAGTTTCTGCATTCACTTTTAATATGCAAGTATTTTGGGATTTTGTTATTTTGATTGTATAATTTACTTCCTTCCTTGAATAAAAGAGTATGGATGTTACAGTTTGCATCATGTACTGTATACTTTTTTGTCTAACTTTGGTAACATTTCAACCAAGAATATTGGATAGTTTAATGCTCTCCCTATATTAATAGCTGCCTGATATTTGATACATTCCAAAGTCAACCCTCTTTTTCCAGGGCTTGGTCTTATTTATGTAAAATAATGAATTCCATAATGACAAGCGTGACCCTTGAACCAAGCATAACATGGATGCAAAGGCCCAACACTTTTTGACTTGCTGTATTTGCACCAGACTTTACAGATTTTATTAAATAATGTTATATTTTATGCTTCACTGTTAATGAAATACTGGCGTTGTTAATTTTGTTGTATTTCTATCCCATGTCTATGTATATTTTAAAGGATGTGCCAACTTCTGGAAGGAAGGAATCCAAAACAATTATTTACAACATATGAAAGGCTTGAGGAGATGGCTGAAAAGTTACATTTGGATTCAGTATCAATGTTTGACCAGTTAGTGATAGCTGGCCAAGGACAAAGTCTTCTTTTGTCAAAGATGGATGCTGATTTAACAATTCTTCATGATTCAATATACTGCAAAGAAGAAAGTGTGTGTCTTAGTAATCAGGTAAGTAATTGGATTATGATCACCCGAAATGGTGGTTTCATGGAGTATTCAGCAGTACTTTTGTTAATACTTACTGTAATTATAAGAAAATGCCTTATTCACATAACTTTTTGATGTGTCTAATCTAAACTCTTTAGTAAACTATCATAAAGCTGATAGGCAGAATTAAATCCTTCCAAATCTGTGACACAGTCTGGACCTAGCCTAAATATTCTGACTGAGGGTGGTTCTTTTTCCTTGACCATCTTAGTACTATCAGCAGTTCATATTGACATCTGTTGAATATTGACTCACTAATTTTGCAGCCCCTGCCTCACTCTGGCAATACAGGTAGTCCTTTACTTACAACAGTTCATTTAGTGACTGATCGAAGTTACAACAGCACTGAAAAAAGTTATTCATGGCCATTTTTCACACTTATGACTGTTGCAGCAGCCCCAAACAACATTTGGATGCTTGACAACTGGTTCATTTTTATAACAGTTGCTGTGTCCCAGGGTCATGTGATCACCTTTTGCAAACTTCTGACAAGCAAAGTCAATGGGGAAGCCAGATTCACTTAATAATCATGTTACTAACTTAGCAGCGATTCACTTAACAAATGTGGCAAGAAATTCGTAAAATGGGGCAAAACTCATTTAACAAATTTCTCACTTAGCAACATAAATTTTGGGCCCAATTGTGGTCGTAACTTAAGGACTATCTGTAGAGGGATAGTTGTTTTCTCTGGCTTTCCAATCTTATTTCTTCTACTTACACTATTGGAGGAGAATGGAAACCCAACACAAAATTGCAGCGCTGGTTATGTGAAGGGTATATAGTAAAATAATCTGCAACCCCAAATAATATAATTCAATTCAGGTTCATGAAAAATGGCTGCAGTACTCAGTAAACATTACCAGTTGTGAATAATAATTTTCTGAAGGCCCTCTCCTATTAGGGTTATGTCACTGCAGGTGGGAATCATGCTTGTTTAAGAGAGGTCTGTTCAGGTGCATTGGCACTATCGTAGAAAACACTTTCTGGCCTCTGCTCCTTTCACCTTACTAAAACAATTCTGATGCATCTTCTAGACCTCCTCAATGGACCAAAATATATACTGAAATTGGTGCACTGAACGAGGCCACTTGGAGGCATTTTCATCAAGAGTTTGGAGTCATGTATTGCCAGAGGTCACAGCAATCATGTCAGGACATTGGGAAATTGTGCTCTTGGGGCAGATCTAAAAAAGAATGCAGGAAATTAAAATTGCTCCATTCACCAAGAACATAAAAATCGGATTTGGGCAGCTCTTTTGATCTGGGTTATTTACACCAGATATTGATATTTTAGTTAAAGATCCCACCTTCATACTGCTCATGTATTTGGTTCTTAGTTTTATCTAATTCTTATTAATCTTAATGTTTTTGTATTTGTGTTTTTATTATATTGTAAGCAGCCCAGAGTTGCTTTGGATAGTGAGGTGGGCAACATATAAATTTAATAAATAAATAAATAAATATGCAACAAGTTAAATGACCAAAGTGAAGTGGCTGTTCAGTTGACATCAGCACTTTTGAATATTTGAGCTTGAGACTCCCAATGTATTGTGTGAACCCAGCCATAGCTTTTTATCCAGCAGAACGTTCTTGCCAAGGACCAGTAATAATTGGCCAATAGAATCAAATCAAAATGTTCATATTCCTGATTTACAATATAAATGCCCAGAATCAGAAGTTTTAATTTTAAAGAACCATATTTCAAAAAAATGTGGGCAGGAAAAGCTCATGATTGCCTACATAAAGGAGTTAGTATAATGATATTTCTAGGATATAGTGGGACAGAAGTATATTGAACTCACTATTGTATTTCTCTCATATTTAGGAACTGTCTGAACAGTTTCAGCAGTTGGAATTCCAGTTGAATAAAATAAATCAACTTATTATGGATTTTCTTGCTGATATAAAAGCTAAGAAGAAGGTCTTGGAAAATAATAAAGTACAGGAGATGGAAAGAAAACTCTGCTTGTTCTTCTTCAACAATGAAGAACGTCTGAAAAACATTGTGGAAAGATTGGAGCAACAAGTTGAGGCTCAACCCAACCCTTAAAGATTATGTGTTAAATTAAGAATGGTTTTTTTTGGGGGGGTGTTTAGATTATTCAATTTTTTTGCATTGAATTTTAATGGGCTATTGTTGCAGCACCAGAAAGTTTAAAGGAAATTATGAAGCCACCTCTATGAGTCAATAGTTATTTGGCGAACTAGATAAACTATATTCTTGAGTTGAAAGACAAAATATAATCTGGGAAATATTCTCATATGAAAAGATAAAGACTTCCTAGGTTTCTTACACCAAGTAGGGGGAATGTGTAGAACTTCAGTTCATTAGTCAATAGTTTTTCCATTGTTTTTTAATCCTTACATTCAGTATATTGATGAGTAACATTTTATCCTAATTTGGTAAATATTCCGAACTACCTTCCTCAACCTGATGCTTTCCCATAGTATAATTAGGGGAGTTGTAGATTAGGACAGCAGGGGAATATTGTGCTATGAAGAGCTATTCTATAGGATGATTAAACTTGCATTTCTGTACCCAATACTACTTGGTGTTTGTATGCTACACCCTTCTGCCCCACGAAACTCCCTTAGTATTCATTTATATTCAGTTGTAATCATTAATTTTAGTACCAGACTTAACAAAGCTGAAGATAAAAGCTTTCCATGTCTTTCAGATTAGATTGTAAATATTGGTCCTATCAGAAAGTTGAGTTTTGTAGCTGAAACATGTAAGCTTCAAATAAATTTTTTTACCATCTCAAAGGCTATGCTTTTTATTTCCTAGTCTTATTTCCCCCAGCTTCTAAAAAAAACCAAAACACCCCATTTTATACCAGGTACAGAACAGAGGGAATCCCTTGCAGCATGTTTACCTAGGTACCTCATATTCCAAGGGGAGGGCGGGGGTGGTGGTGTAACATTCCCAAGGCTTATGTCGGTTTCCCCAGGGTGTATTTTTGATTCACTAGGGCAGGGGTAGGCAACCTCGGCTCTTTTATGACTCACGGACTTCAACTCCCAGAATTCCTGAGTCAGCATAGCTGACTCAGGAATTCTGGGAGTTGAAGTCCATGAGTCATAAAAGAGCCGAGGTTGCCTACCCCTGCACTAGGCATTGCTACTTTTTTTGTAACAATCCAATTGCTGCAGACGAAAGACAGAGTTCCCACCAACTTTCCATCGCCTCTCGAGCTCCTCTTTCCCCAGGACCACTTGAAGAGTGGCTCTTCATCTGGGAGCGCTATTCCTCGACTGGGAAAACTCGGGTTCTCGGCCTTTGACCGGCATCCGAGTAATTTCAAACGCCTTTCAGCCCCACCTTCAGACAGTGGCGCTGAACTTGAAACGTCGCGCCCCTCCCACAGCCGCTTTCCCAACGCCGCTTTCGGCTTCTGTAGGCCGGAAGGGGAGGCCCCGCAGCGGCGTTCGCTCTGCTTTTCCCAGTAGCTCTGGACTTCCCGCGGAGATGTTGCTGGTGGCCGGATTGAGGCTTCACGCTCCCGGCCTAAGACTGTGGCAGCAAAGCGCCGGAAGATGTAGGGCGCTTCAGCCGGCGAAGAGGTTGGCGGGAATCCTGGAGAAGCGCCAGCCCTTCACGGCTTCCCACTGCAAACTGTTAACGCCGCTTGGTTCGCCCCGAGCGTTTGGATCCCGGTTTTGGCTGGGGGAAAATAAGCAGGTAGGTGCTGCAGCGAACGGTGCTTCCTTACACGGCGAGAGAGGACGGAAGTCCCCGTAGAAAGCATGCAACCGGGGTTTAAACCGCGGCTCCTGGCCTGCAGATGGCACGTGTGGATCAACAGTCGCTGCTGTAATCCCGTGATTCTCAACCTCGGTAGCTGTAAGATGAGTGGAGTACAACTCCCCAAATTCTTGAGCCATCAAATGGAGTGATCCATGCTACCTGTGCTTGGGATTGAAAGATATCGGGGTTTCATAGCCCAACAGCAGCAGGAAATTGGAAACAAAATCTGGGACGTGTATCTTGTTTTCTTTTTCCATCAGGAGATATAGACAAACGGTTAGTCTTAATTTGGTAGGAAATACTTCAAAATGCTTTTGTTGCTGCTTCTTTAAAATGTATATATAGTAGCAAATATAGAGTTGAAATTGCTAATTATTAAGGATGGACATCTAAAAGATGTTTGTAGCTTTAATTTTGTTATGTTTCCTTCATTGCAGTTGTCTGCTGCCCAAGATTATATTGCAGAAGATAGGTGGCCATATAAATCTTACACAATAAATATTTCTGAATCATGGGCATCTTAATTTTTCATGTGGTCCATGCATAACTCACATAGCAAAGGGAACCATGGTTAGAGGTAAGGCAGCAGTTTGCCAATCTCAACCGGCTCTCAGGATCATTATTTAGGTTAGTTGCTAGAAGAAAGCATGTCTGCATATATATGTTTATATCTGAGTAAACTTACTGGAAGAGATATTGATACTACTGGTTATATATGGTATTTGGCCTCTAGGTTCCATTTCTCCGTGCGGAGTCTCTGTGCCGCTTTGGTACATCATCCCTGGAGGAACATTCAGAATATGGAAGATTAATTTATTCTGGAAGTTTATCAAAAACTGTATTAGGTAAGTATGTTAGAATTTTTTTTTTTAAAAAAAAACTTTTTCAGGAGTGAGAATTCTTGTCATACAGAACTGTATGCAAAGTGCATAACTATGTACATTTGTTTATTTAAATCTCTTATTTAACTACTACTTATGTAGTAGTTTAACCCAGGAATTTGGGACTGTTGCTAGAAAGAAGAACATTAAGATACTTTCTCCGTTACATATGACTTTTTCTCCTGCCTGAAATCCAAAAACACTTTTGGAGCACCTTGGTGGCTCCTTTTAGTTTATGGGAGAAACAGTGGCTGGAAGTTCAGTCAGACCTTCCAACTTCTCGCGAAATCTTTTTTTTTTTTTTTTTTGCGAGAAAATGGAAGGTGTGACTGAACTTTTTTTAGTTCCACAAACTCCGTTTCCCTGCAGCAGAAGAGAAATGTGCCAGAGCTGGAAAGCAGGTTAGCAAAGAAATGCTTTTGGGAAGAGGGAGGAGCTGCGCCGGGAGGAGAAGCAGCAAGAAATGGGGCTGCCATTTCCAGAAGGGAGACGCGGGACAATGCAGGCAGCAAGCAAGTGCTGTTCTCTGCTCTGCATCTCTAGGCAGAGCTGCTGCGTTCTCCGTTCTCTGTGAGACAGGCGACAAAGGGCTGGTGGCGGTAGATGGCCTGGAGAGTTGGCAGAGGACAAAGTGGCGGCGGGCAGATGATCTGCAGGGTGAAGCTTAAAGAAAGCCCCTCCAGCAGTGCACAGCAGCAGAAGAGCCATTTGCCGTCACTCCCCCCTCGCTCCGAAACGGCGGAGGGGGACCAGGCCTACTCCACCCATACCATCCGCCATAGCATGGCAGTCCGGCTTGGGAGGGGAGTGAAAGGTTGCCGATCAAGGAATGGTCTTGTGGGGGGAGGCTGAAATACCGGTAAGTGGGTGCAGGGCGCATGGGGCAGCTACACCCCCTCCCCCACCTGCCTCACCTTGTGACGGCAGTGGCGCGATATGCCGTGGGGCCTCTTTCCCCATTGCAGCAGCGAGGTGGGGCAGAGTTGGCAGGGTTCTAACTAGGGCTTATTTTGGGGGTAGAACTTATATTAGCCCCTCCCCCAATCATGGTAGGTCTTAGTTTAGGGGAGGGGCTTATTTTTGGGGAAACACAGTAGCTATCAGGAACTACTGCAAGTTCTTAGTTGTCAGTCAACATGAGAAATGCTGGCCAGCTTAATTGCTTTCCAAAATCTTTTTAAACAAAATATTTTGTTTTTCCTCTGCTCTTTCATACTTTTAGTAAATTTATATGCCAATCATCTCACAATAATATAAAAAAATAATAGAGAACATTTAAGAACGTTAAACATTAAGGATTAAAACATTAAAATTAACCAAGGACTAGATAAAAAGGGGTAATAAGTAAATGGAGTGGAGGTGGGATCTTTTCTCAATCTACTAACCACCCCCAAAGTGGAAGGCCCAAGTTAGCTGGCAGAGCCAGGTTTTCAACGCTTTTTGAAAGGCCAAGAGGGGAAGGCCAGATTTCACCATGAGGAGCATGATGTTCCAAAGGGCAGGAGCTACGACAGAAAAGGCTTTTCTCCTGGACCCTGCCAGCTGAAGTTCTTTGGCCAATGTGGTCAGCACCATACTCCCTCCACCCAGAGCAAGTGAATGAATAAACCTTTATTATCAAAGTACAACATATATACAATGAGATTGGCTGAGCCTCCCTCCGTGCTCCCCCACCACAACTCAAGTGGGGCAGGCCAATCCCACTGGGGTGAGACAGTTCTTCAGAGAGACTGGATTCATGCCATAAAGGGCTTTAAAGATGATAAGCAACACTTGAATTGGACTCAGTAGCTAACTAGCAAGTTTTAAAGACATTCTTCATACCAGTGGCATATATCTTAGATTTGTAACAAAAGAGTGGGATTTTGTAACAAAGGGGTGATCTCTTGTAATCCCTTCCACTCCAGTGTCTCCACTCTGGGTGTTGGGAGGGAAAACGAGTCAGGTCCAGAAGGTATTGCTTTAGAAACTGCTTGTTTCCCCAGAAA